GGCTGTGCTGTTCTGTTTGTGCTTATAATGTACCCAGATGGTGAATAGAATGAGTGACCACCAAGCTCATTTTCACTTGTGGGGTCAGACCTTTCTCTGCTAAATAACACAAGTGTTCCCAGCTGCTGTGCAGCTGCAGGGAGTCTGCTTTCCTTCACAGGCATGAAAAACCCTTTAATCAGTGTTTGTTGTTTGTCAGCAGTGGTGTTGAGGTGTGGAGAAAAAGAACAGATATGCTTTGTTGGCAAAGTTAACTTCTTTCTGACCTCTTATCTTTCCTTTTTCTTTTCAAGTCTGAAGAAGCAGAAAGTAGTTTGGGAAGTGGTTTCTGCAAGCACCTGTGTAAATGTATTTGCTAAAGGAGGAGGTTTATGTCCTTATACAGATACATTTGACATAAAAAGATGCTCTGAGCCCTGCATTGAACTGGAAGCTCTTTAGGGCAGGGACTCAAACTGACTGGTGTAGGAGCTGTGTAGGTTCCCTTAATGTAAGCAAATGCTACAAAAATACAAATGCTGTTGTCTAATACTAGTGTTACTTATGCTTATTTTAGTATTAAGTCTGCATTCAAGGGATCCCATTTGCAATCTGGTCAATTTTAACATTTCCCTGGAAAATAGACTGTTCTGACTAGTGTTTGTGTTTGTTTTTTGTGGAGTGTTGTGTTTGTGGATTTTTGTGTGTGTGACTTTTTTGTTTGTTTTATTTTTGTTTTGTTTTTTTAGTGATGCTTTTAATAGTTCTTTTCTTGTGGAGGAAAAGGGAGGAGAGAAAAGAACTGATAAGCCAGTGACACCATCTCCAGTCCCATTTGTTTTGGATGTAGTTTATTCTGAAACAAATGGGAACACAGATATCAAGAAGAGGCCTTGAGAAATCTCAGAGTTAAGATAATTATTTCCCTCTTCTTTCTGGATGAAGCTTGGAAACCTGCTGGTGCTACACATGTTTGCAGGGTTACTTTCTCCCTGAGTCCAGATCGGTTCACATTGTGTGGCTGCGTGTACAGCCCAAGCCCTGCTCTGTGAGTGTTGATTCTGTTGTTTGTAAAGCATGTTTGTGTGGGTGTCCTGAAGCTGTTAGGACATTAGGCTTTGATTTGAGCTTCAAGGGTCAAGATAGGACATTTGGTGTTAAAGGCAGAATACTTTGTCTTGCTACTCTTCCCCTGAAGGGACCAGAGAATCATGTAACTGCCTCGGCTGTGTCTTCAGAGGGTTGGTAGCCAGCTGTCAGGGCACCTGGTGCACATTGCTTGCAGCCCTCTGCCTGACTCCTGTATCTCCTGCAGTGACCAAGGTGCTCTTTTGGAGCAGGGCTGTGCTCCTTGGAAAAGGGGTGCCTGCTTGCTCAAGGTGGGAATAAGGAACTGGGGATGAGTAACTTACGAATTGTAGTCATAGCTGTTAAAATGATAGATTCACGTGCTCTCCCCATGGGCAGACATATTTCAGCGTTCATCCAGTGTTTTTCTTCAAGTGCCTGAGGCTGCTTACAAAGGAGGGCAGTTGTCGTGCTCTTGGACGGGCAAAATGCTAGAAAGAAAACTCTGTGCCAGGCGGGAGGGGATGGACACTCAAAACAGGTAGTACGTTAAATGTCCCTGGATGGTCTGTGTTGATGATCGCTTCTGTAGCATGAACGCTTACCAGCTAGAAATGGGACAAAGAACCACCATGTTACTATCTGAAAGCTGGCAGGACTCCTGAGCAAAGACGAGGGCTCTGAGCTACAGTGGAGCAGGTGTCCTGCTGTAAGGGGGAGTTTTTGAAGGCCTTCAGTAATCTCTCCAGGAGATCCAGCCTTTCTGGCAGTGCTGTCTGATCACATGAGAAGAACCCTGATCAGACAGGCATGATCCTGGATCCTTCTGGAAATTAATGCAGACTTTTACAATTATAATCTAGCCGAACAAAACAAGCACCATCTTGTGCAACTATGTAAACCATAAACTTTTTTGGCAAGGCAGGTGTGGCATCTTCAGTGTCTGGAAAGCACCTAACGTGCTGTGTGGGCTCCCTACTGTAATCCAAATTACAAATGCTAAGAAGGCTTTGATTTTTTTTTTTTTTTTTTTTTTTTATAACTTTGTTCTTG